TTCTCCTGTCAAAATGAATGCAAGGCAGTATGCTGCTAAACTGCTTGCAGCTGGAATCAAATTGGGTAGCTCAGAATTGTGAAGCACAATGCCTAAGCCACAAAAGTCGACCTCATGTTAAAACCACTAAAACAATTACTAATAAACTACCAATATTTATTAACTGGTACCAGTGCTAAACAGGGGGAATTAAATGGTATGTTAGAATCATTAATGTTGAGCTTAGCAATAGAACTAAACAAATCCCAGTCAACCTGGATATGACGATAAGATGCTGATGTCAGATAGGATAACAATCCAAGTGTTTTCTAACTGATCCTTATTCACTGCGGCATACCAGGAAATGAGATTTGCAAAGAATAGAACATAAGAGAAACAACAAAACAACACACACATTCACTGTCATTACAAGAAATCAAATCACTTATCAAGTGAAAATACACAGAACTGTGAAAAGAACAAACCAATGGTAAACAACCACAAGACCTCATCAACAGACAACAGAAAACAATATACAACAATTTTTCCATCCAAGAACAGGATACTGCAGGCTCAACTACCACATACATAAAATAAAGACTACAGTCACCAGTGTGCAAGCCAGATGGAACCACAAACACCTGAGCAAATTCTACAAACCAGCCCACTATACTTACAACTACAAAGTGAAAGCTCACCTCAAAAGCAAAGTGTACAGAGCAAGCTTTGGAGAACTATGAAGGACCTGCAACTGACATGGAAATTCACACTGGCAGCTCACCTGATGTTCTGACCTGAGCATACAAAACCGAACACAAAGAAGAAAGGATGCCAACACGTTAGGAAAGCCTGAGCACAAAATAACTATGCTCAACTGGGGGATAAAAAGCAGAAGATTCTGTTAAACATTCACTGGGCTCCAGCCAATTAAACAGGGTTTGTACACTGTGGTTATACTGTCTTTGTATGATCTTATAGAAGCAGGCTCAAGAATTTACAAGTGCTAATGTATAATGAAAGATCATTAATCAAAAAAGCTGATTAAAACCTCTAACCACCCTCAGTGTACAGCTGTACCCTTGAAGTGTGCTTTGTAACTGATGTTTCTCGTGTGAAAATCTTCGAAATTCTGGAATCTACATCTACAGATGACTTGACAGAGGAAGCATTCAAACACTAACACCTAGATATCAGCAGACATCATGTTATATACTGACAAACAGAAATGGCAGGAATTCCCCAAACAGTATGTCACATAAACAGATAAAGAGGCAGATGAGCCAAGACAACAGATAAGTATTAACCAGGGTATTAAAAAGTGAAAAACTATTGTATTTAAAAAAAAAAGTATGCATTAATAAGCAGCAAGAAGAATGCTTCACGGGCAAATGGTGTACAGTATGGTCACATAAGGCAAAATCAGTGGTGTGAGGAATGTCAATGCCAGTATAAAGACTTCTTTGGAACCAGGGGACTGGTTACCATTAAAGGAATCATTGAATTTTTGCCCAGATCGGTCTCAGATGGTTCTGTTTTACATGCACAGATCAAAACTGACCAAAAGACCACTAAATGGCAAAGAACAAACCTTCAAGTTCACAGATGAAGAACTGATGTATCAAATTGGTTCAAACATGCACAGAATTATCAGAGATATTCAACGGGCACTGAAGATGCCGAGTGCGAGACAATGATCAAGCAGACCTGTTTACTGGCTTCAAGAGTACAGAGGCTGTACAAGAGTCAGACTGGAAGAAAACAGAAGAACACAAGAGCAAGCTGGTCAGGTTACAAGAAGGTGTCCTCCAGGGAGATGTTATATCTCCTGCCCTGTTTATCCTTTTAATCAATGTCCTCTTAAAACAGTTCATAACTTACAATCACATGCAGACATCCTGGCCATATAGACCCAAGCTGAATATATAGAAACAACTAAAACAAGAATGCAGGAAGCTATAAATACAGTTAAGAAATCGACAGACTCTTGGGAAGTCACAATAAACCAGACAAAGGCCGTCTTTACTCTCTTCTTTTTCCACAAAGTCAGAACAAGTTGATCTGTACCTAGAAGGCAACATCCTTCCAAAAGCAGATAACCCCACATATTTAGGGGCAAAATTCGACAAAAGTCTAACCTGGGGCCCCCACATTGAAGAAACCCAAAGGAAAGCTACCCTTAGGTTCAGACTTATAAAGAAACTTACTGGAACAAGCTGGGGTGCAGATGACAACACTGCACTGTATAACAAGTATTCACAGGACTTGTACCACCAAAACTGGAGTATGGCATGGAAGCATACTTCACTGCAGGTAAATCAAACCTACATAAACTGGACAAAATACAGAACACTGGTCTCAGAATCATCACTGGAGGTATGAGAAGCACACAAATTCATTCGCTGAAGGCAACTTCTGGCCTCCAGTGCTTGAGCCTTCGAAGGGAAGATAAGGTGCTTAACCTAAATATACAGTCACAACAACAATTAAAGGCAATGAAGAAGAATGTGACCTAGTACTGCATGCAAAGACCCTTGAACATGTCTACAACTGTTACCCAAAACCCAAATGGACACACGTATACACCGGCGGATCACTGGAGGAAGCAAAAAAAAATGGAGGAGCTGGAACGGTCTTCATGCTGCAAAATGGGACCACAGTAGAAATGTCATGCACATCCGGAAAATTCTCAACAAACTTCAAAGCAGCAAGCAAATTATTGATTCAGCTCAAGTGCTTGAGGAAAGAAAAATTAAAAACAGCAAAATTTGTTTTCCTTTGTGACTGCATGCCAGTCCTCCAGGCAACTCAGAGAGATCCATGAGACAACATGGAAAGAGAACTGACCCACCAGCTAAACAGACTCGCAGAAAACAATCAGATCGTTCTCCAGTGGATTCCAGCTCACTGCAGCATACCAGGAAATGAGTTAGCAGACAGACTTGCTAAAAATGTAACAAAGGAGAAACAACACCTCATCCATTGTTGTTACCAAAAACACTTATCAAGGGAAAATACAAGGAATTGTGGAGAGAACAAACAGTAAACATCCACAAGACTCCATGAGCAAACTCAACCAGAAAGCAACATACAACAATTTTCAATCTATAAACAGGCTACAACTACCACATGCATAAAATAAAGTCTGTACAGTCCCCACAGTGCACCTGTCTAACAGGACCACAAACACCTGAGCACACTACATACAACTTCAAAAAGACACCTGGCCTCAAGAGCAAAGTGTGCAGAGCAAACTATGGGGAACCATGAAGGACCTGCTACTGCAATGTGAGTTCATAGAGTAAACCATTCACAGAGTAAACCTTTAGTGCAAGACAGCCTAGTATATGGCACCACAACATCTAGCACGAGAATGGAGGTGGAGGCGGTAACTGCAGTTCTCTGGTGGCTAGAGAACAAGATGCATACACATGTAGTAATTGTAACAGACTGCATGCTGAAAAAGGTGAAGACAGGGATGCTTCAAGCAAAGTGGCTAGCTTCACTGGAAAGGTAACAGGTGGTGAGCATACTTTGGATCTTTTTTCCAGGCAATGCCGGAGTGGTGGGTAATGAACAGGCAGACAGACTGGCTGGATCTGCACCACTGGGTGGTGAATTGATACATGACAAGGCAGATGTGGACAAGGCCCTTTGGGAACAAGCAACGGAATCAGTAGAGAAATAAGATTATTATGGCCTGGAGAGAATGAGGCACCTGGGTGTAACCAGAGGGTCTGGCCAGCTCACTACACTCAGAGAAAAGGCAAGACAGACTATTAACCAGATTGTGACCGGTACCATCCGTACTGCGCTGGCTGCTGAAGATGAGGCATGGGAATGCCCCGAGTGCTGTGATGTCACTTCTTGACTCAACTCAGAGTAAACCCACCTGATGGTCTGATCTGAGTATACAAAACCAAACACAAAGAAGAAGGCTTCAAGAGCACCCATAAAGCTGAAACATTCACAAAGTAGGCTTCGAGAACTAGCTTGAAATAGCTGCTAACTAAATTCACAATAGTGGAAGAAACAGCATGAAGATGCCTGAGCTTGGATTTCTTTGTGATGTCAATAAGAATGGATGTTTGAATGGACAAATAATATTAGTTTACAACCAATGTGTTGTTGAAACCATCTGAATATGAATCTTACAGCATATGCTGATGGAGATAAAGAAATAAACCATCTGTTCATTTACATGTTTTCTGTTAACATTTCAATAGCTTAATGATAGAATAAATCTCTGTGACCCTTTTATTATAAAGTGTGTAAGAGGTTTTATTAAGGGAACATTCCAAATGTCCATTTTACTGAAACTATGAAATGTCGGACACAAAACCTGTTATATTAAACACCTAAATGATCGTTGACAATGACCATTTTTTAATGTCATAAGAACAAATGATTAAATATGTAAATCTGTATATAAATATTCAAGGATTACACAATGTAAACAGAAACAACTGACATTACACATGAACTCAAAGCTACTTGCTAAAGCCACATTAAAATACTGGGGATTTTTGTTGAAATGTGTTTATACCTTACTGTACCCAAATTGAAATGATAATCATACAGAGGGAAACTCATGTTTTTTCCTGACTTATGTATCCATAGAAGAGATTTAAAAGCAAGCTATAACTTTTTTATCATTATCATTATTTCTTATATTTGGAAGTTTATCAGGGCAGAAAATGTTACATATGACTACTAAGCTGAAAGAAACTCACTTCAACCCATTTACAAGTATTCTGCAATATTTTTGTTTTAAATAAAACAGAGCACAGGGCCAACTAAACATTACAAAACATTCAATAAGATGACATATAGTTATAGCAGGCATACTGCTTTTGTCTATAACAACAACATCCGAATGATGTCCTTTGGACTGACATGTTTCTGCACAATTGATCATGTCACTGAGCTATATGCACAGAATTAAGATAAGAGAAGAAAAGATGGTGGTGAGTAGAGACATGAAAAAAAATACACACATACAGCTGATGGTAACTGTAATGCCTTCACACCAAGTTGTATTCCTTCAAGTTCAACTGTAGAATTGTGTCCTTGACTGCTGCAAACACGAACCTTATATTCTCTGTATCTGAAAGAGATACAAATGTCATTTATTGTTGCATTTTTATGTCAATGAATATTTCAAATAACAATATTAACATTTATTAAAATGAACATGTATGGTTGGTGTGCTGACTTATTTGGCCTATAGATAGTATAGGTGAAAGCACTGTGGTGTGCTGACTTATTTCGCCTATAGATAGTATAGGTGAAAGCACTGTGGTGTGCTGACTTATTTCGCCTATAGATAGTATAGATGAAAGCACTGTGGTGTGTATAAGGTGAGAAGTTAATCATACGTTGTCACACTATGCATTTCATAACAGAAGCCAGCAGGCTCTGTGCAGGTTTTACAGATTCAATGCAAGATCACTGCCAAACATCCTCGTAAACAACGGATGTACGGCCAATACAGACCTGAACCAAACTAGAAGAGATTATCAGAGACAGTGGATCCTCTAAGTTGTAATGATAGGAAAGAAGCAGCAGATAAACATCTGATATTCATCAACCTGTTCACAACCAGGCTTTAAATGTCTGATCAAAATCATCCTATAAATTCATTGTAATAATGTCCCCAATTGCCAGAGTCCTACCAAATGATAAACCGGTTCACATACATGTACATCAAAAATCTAATAAATGGAAAGCCAGTGCTATCAGAGAACCTTGGTGCATTGGAAGTCAGGGAATGCTGCCGCTGACTTCACATAAAGATCACACAGCAGGAATACAGTTGTGGACGGAGAAGTGAAGATAATACCACTCTCAGACACTGGAATGTTGTGTCCAATTATCGGGAGTCCTGTTACGTGATTTAACCAGCCCTGCCCCCACCCCCAGGTGCGATGCTACAGAAATACAGGTTTATAAGTGAAATCTCACTTCCTAATAAGTCCCTTTGAAGATTTAATAATCTCTCTGCCAAGAAGGATGGCAAGTATAATAAGCAAGAAGATATGGCATAAGGTAGGTTTAAGTGTGCATGAAATACCATAACAAATACACACACATTTACTGAGTCATGTGTGCCCAGCAACCAAGGAAAGAGTTTTGTGGGCTGAGTAAAAGTGTCAAGTTATCAATGAAACAAAACTGTTTACTAAACAGTTTGAAGGACCACATGCAGTTATGACTTAGTTTGGAGGGGGGGGGGGGGGGGGGGGGGGGGGGGAAACTCTCTGCAGCTATAGTCCCAAGGACAGGTTTTGTGTACTGTGCTGTACAGGCAACATTCAACACATGATGACACCTACCCACACTAAAATACAGAATATCTAATACACCTAAAGGGTAGATGAACAATGTTAAATTGATTTCTTGTCACACTGACTGTTGACAATTCCACCTTGCTATGCCCAGGAAGCATGACTGTTTTATCTTATAATCTGTTAACATCATCTGATCCCATTTATTAAACTATAAATAGGGCGAGCACACAAACTCTCATACTGTCAGAAGAACATCCGCTTCTTTTCTTCTTCTTTGTTGCTCTTTCAAGGGAAATGTATAATTTCTCATTATTCAGCGGTCTAACACAGTAGTTTGTATGTCTTTAGCAAGCATTTTATGTAAGGCTGACACCTTGTACACATTTTCTCCAAACATTACAGCACTGCTTCTTCTCCAACAATTTTGCCATATCAGTGGCTTTGCTACACACTGTGCAATTTTTAAGTGTTTTGAGAAGGTTATCTGTATGCAATCCCAGTACACACGAAACCAGAAGAAGAGTGATATCAGTAGAAACCATAGGTTCCGGTAAAAACTACTAGTTCTTGGAGAGATGTGGGTAACTTGGAGACAGAGGGAGGCATTGAAACCTTTCAGTCTTGTACAATGTACACACTAACACTGGCAGACGATTACTCAACTCACCAGTGGCACAGGTGAAATGAGAGTAAATGATCTTGTCTGGATCTGGGTTTAGTTCTACAAACATTTTCAGGATGAATTCTCGTGCTGTGCTTGCTTCTTTTTTGGGACCTGATCAAAAAGAAACAATAAAAGTGCAAATGTAAACTATCTGAAAAGCTTCTGACTAAGCACTAAAAATCCAATGCAGTTTAAAGAATAAACTATAATATACTAGTCCAAAAAAAGCTAGGCATCATTTAATTTAGTGTGTATGATGATACATAATACACCTGTGTGAATACTGGAGGATAATACAAACATTTCTAAAATGATGTCCTGCTTAGCACATTTTCACACAAATTGGAAGCAAAAAGTCAATATATATATAAAATGAAAAACAAATCTGAAACTTAGTGGCAACTGGTAAACATGATGGAAAAAAGTCATTCCTGGATGATTTTACCACATGGCATATTCAGGACAACAATACTCACAACATATACAACTGAGAGGGAGAAACATGACCATTCAACGCTCATCAAAGTGGCACATGAAGATGATTTTGTGGCATAAGAAAGTTGTAGGAGTTGGTGAATCCAAATTGCTTATAACCAGTGTGTTACTGTAAAGTTCAACAAACAGAGAAATGTTGGAAAGGAAACATTTATGAACTTGTTTGCAGCACTAATGTTAATTCTGCATTAAGATAGCCTTAAAAACTGCTTACCATCAAATTCAGGAAAATAGTCTACAAGATGTGAATGCATAATCTTCTCCTCTAGCAAGTCTTTCTTGTTGAGAAATAAAATAACAGATGAATTCTGAAACCAGGGATAAGTAATTATTGTCCTAAACAAGGCCTTGGATTCTTCCATTCGATTCTGTGAAAACAAACAATTCAATATAAAATACACTTAATATTAATAATAAAGCACATTCATAACTAGACATCATGTCTCAATAACAAACAGTAGCTACTTTCAGTAAAATGATCTTACTATACAGTTGAGAGTTTCTTTTCCAAAAACGCAGCAAGTGTATATTTTGTGTGTGTGTAAAGCCATATTTTGCTTGCTTTATTAGGCTTCTTTCATTGGATCACACTAATAACCAGTTCAAAATATCAGAGAAATGTGCTGCACTACTAGATGTCTGTGTGAAACCTGTGTATGATTACATGCTGTGTTTTAGTGTATTCCCAGTGTGTTAGCTACCAACTGAAATCATGGCAGCCCTAGCAACAATATCTACACACATTGTATGTGAAGATTTCAGTCCATGAATCTCCCTCTTGCGAAGGAGAGCTTGCAGTTGAACTAAGAGCCTCCTCTATTGCTCTACTAGCGTGTAATACAAGGTCCAATAATTAAGTAATAAGACTTATTTTATTATGGCCAAGAAAAAAAAACCCATCTATGAGGCAGAGCATGGAATCTAAAGAGGCAACATTCACCTATGATCTAGCAACTTTTCATCGCAGCTCGATAAGCAGACAACAAACAAGCCGCCATTTTGTTGACCTAGTCAGAAGTGCATTATTACGTAATCAGCATGAAGCAAAAAGCTAACATTAAATTCTGTTTAAACTCAGAAAAAGCAACACTGAAACAGTTGAATTGATGTGACAAGTTTATGGGCATAATTGTTTATTTCGTGCACACATTTTCAGGTGTTATTCATGATTCAAAAGTGGTGTGGAAATGATTACTGATGCACCTAGACCTGGACGCTAAATTTATGTTCATAATGCAAAAGTAAGAGAACTAATACAAGATCATTGTTTTACTGTGAGAACGAAGGCAGATGAGCCTGGTGTTAACAGTGAGACTATTCATAAGATTTTAGTGCAAGATTTTGGCATGAAAAAAGTTGCTTGCCGGTTTCTACAACATTCGTTGTCTGATGACCAAAAACATCCGCAGGTTGAGTACCCAAGAGGCATCAACAACTCAATAATATCTGGCTCAAAAACAAGTGTGTTTTCTCAGCCTTCCACCCTATTCCCCAAATTTGTCTACCTGAGAATATTTTCTATTCCCGAAATTAAAGTTACGATTGAAAGGACGCTTCTTTAACAATATTGGTGACATCCAATGAGCTGTAACATTGACTTTACGGGCCATAACAACAGAAGAACTACAGAGGTCGCTCCAGTGTATGTTAGATCGTGCCACTAGCTGTTTCAATGCACAAGAGGCTTACTTTAAATCAGATACAGGTTATATATTTAACTGTCAATTATTTTAATTTTTATAGAATTAGTCTCATTACTTAATTGTCGGACCTTGTAATGATGTCCGCAGGAAAATACACAGAAGCTGCCGGTTGCACTGCAAAAGTAATCGAAAGTAAAACATTCACTACTGAAATCTGAAAGGGTATGATGAAAGCATATTCGCGTACTCTCCTGGAGCTGCGCCAGTTTCAAACAAAGATGACCTATCCCAAACAAACTAGTAGACAGTGCTGATGTGGTGATCCCACAAGAAACACACCTAAGCGATAACACACTGTTTGCTAAAGTAGAGACTTTGGGAACATACATGTACCTGGTTTTTTTTTGTTTTTTTGAAGTGATATTATTTGTGTCTGATTTTCTGGCTAGTAAAGCCTCTGTCAGTGAGACTGGCGTATTAAAATTTTCTGAACTATTCAGATGCTTCTCTCATTTCTATACAGTTCAATTACTGTTAAATTGTCTGTACATATGTCTTAATATTTTTGTAATATATGGTTGATCTAGCCAGTACAGTGGAGACACCTGAAGTGATAGGGGTATCAGAGCAATAACAAGGTCAGCTGAAGACAGGCTTTTGTCTTTTCTGGAAGTGACTAGTGCATTGCACTCCTTATCCAAGGGGTAGTGCCTGCTGGTTACCAGAATTTGGGCTCACCCTCAGCAAGTTAATCCATGAGCCACCAATAAGACATGAAACCACCCCTGAGTGGTGAGAATCTGGTGATGAGAGACAAACCTCACCATGTGACAATGAGATATGAGTGAATGAGGGCATGACAGGAAACAAATACCTGCAACATTGATACAGATATTAGTTGTCTGTGTCCTCTTCCCAATATAAAACTGATGACTTGATCACATAAGAGTTGATAACTATCATCTAAAATTGATGATCTCATCATATTAGAGTAGATCACTATCACTTTTCAGATGATCAGGTGGTCTCTTATCAATTTTGATTTGTAAGATGGTGTGTGGCTTAGGGGTTATGAATGCAGTTTCATAATTTCCAACATACATGGGTCTGATACAGATGCTGGCAATTTGGTAGTGGCCTGCCTAATTCTGAAAATGGTCTCAGTTCCGAAATGGAACCCTTCAGACAGAAATGGTTAACTACTAAACATGAAACTTTCTAGTAAACGTGACAAATAGCCCAAGACTGCTGGGATAGTTTAAAAAAGTTCAATAAAAGGTATGCAACTTTAAAACTTTAATCCATAAGAGGTTTTTCTGTTACCTATGAATACAGCAGCATGCAATTATAATATTGCACTTTTAAAATCACATTAATGTCAGTACAGATTTTCTAGAACACAGCCAGTAACACCAGCAGCCACACATTCCCCTACCACAACAAGTGATACATCTAATGGCATGAAAGAGACAAACGTCAAAATGTATTTTAACAATAGGGGTTGAATATATAACCATTTAATTACAACAAACAATAATTTCAGCCACACAACTATTTAAACCATCATAAAAAAGTTAACACTCACCTCATTATCAGATTCAACCAAGACTTGATCATATTCACTTAAGGCGACTAAAAACATAATGGATGTTACATTCTCAAAACAGTGAATCCATTTTCTGCGTTCTGATCTTTGACCTCCAACATCCACCATTCTAAAATACAAAACAGTAAAAAACAAATGAACAGACTCTATAATTCACTAAATTCAACATCCACTGACTCACTTTTTGAAATACACAGCACAAACCTGAAGATCGCTGACAGTTTTTAAAAAAAACAGGGAAAAGTTGTAAAGTTCAAAATATTAAAATTTAAATGCAGAATAAAGAAGGCAGAGAAAAGAAAAACTAAGTTTAAGTTTACTCTCACAAAATGTTCTTAACTGAAAGTTTATCAATTTAGAGTAAACAATGGGGCATCAAATGTGCTGAGTCTGTGCTTGCAAAGAATAAAACAATTAGACTGTTTCTCTCTAGCTCTATAGCAGGAGTTATTTCAACTTTATGAATAAAATGGTAGTCGGCCCGACTTCAGTCTCACGAAATGTTCAAACCATTTTACTGTCACTTTTAGTGAGGCTAGCAGCTTTTCTCCAGTCTTTAATCTAATACAGGTTTCCTCCCTTCCATTCAAAGAGAATTCATGCTCTTATTTGTAGCAAAGAGCTGGCTGGAAAAAAAAAACTATCTTTCATATGACCTCTATAATGGTGCATCAATGTTTAAGAAAAATGATTATTAAATGCTAAAATTTCAGTAAAACTATTCACGCATCAACAATACATATGGCCTCACATGTGTGAGGGATAAAAGACAAGTTAGTATAGATGTTTACTTTTTTATAACACTATGACAGAATTATAAACGATGAGATTCAAATGATCTGATTAAATTCTCACGATCTTATTAATTATTCCCTGGTTGACTAAACTATAATCACAGAAACATCTTATATATGGGTAATGAACTCATGAGTTATTGTGAAAAGAAAAGCAATATTTTCAAGGATATAAAAAAAAATAACAATCATACGTTTAAATTATGAATTTGCAACAGCATCTAAAATCAATGAATGAAGAATTTAAATCACATAAAATGAGAATCAACATCGAAAAGAGAGAAGTAATGTAAATGGGAAGAAAGAAGCAGGATTTAAACATACCATTAGAGAATAATTATATTAAACAGGCATAGGTGTTTAAACATCTTGGAACAACATTCACTGAAGATGGTAAACTGGACGAAGAAATTGACATCTGATGCAGTAAAGCTGGCCAAGTATTGGCACAGCTAGCTCCCTCTTACAGCCTAAGGCCATCCCAATCAGCACAAAGAGACATCTCATACAAAGCATATTCATTCCAACCTTATGCTCTCAGTGCCAAATCTGGAATGAATTCATACGAGATAAAGAACCAATTGTAAATTACACACAAAGACAGAAAATCAAATGGTTTGCCCACTTGGGGAGAATGCCTTCTGATGCATTTCCATTCAAGGCATATACCAAAAGAGGAGAGGGGCATAGAGTAAGAGGTAGACCAAGAACAAGATGGAAAGATAACATATGAGAAACTCTACAGCACCACAATATGTCTATGGTCGAAGCAGCCAGAAGAGCACGAAGCAGAACCTTATATCTCCCTCGACACCCGTTTAAATTTTAATGACTGCCCTAATTGTAAATTCTCCAAACACACTAAAATAAGAGGAAAAACAAATATGATTTTCAAATGTTAATTCATTTCAGACACCACTTTGACAGTCAACTCTCATCAAAACAACAATCATAGCAGGTAATTTCAGCTTATCTGACAATGTTAAATCTATCTTATACAGGCTTCTTCTTCTTCTTCTTAAAATCCAAGCCATGTGGTGCTTGTAGTCATGTCCATCTACAGCCTTCTGTTTTGTGTACTTTCTATCAACTCTGACACAGATGATCTTCCATGCCATGTCAAACTGTCAGCTCTGTTCTCTTTATCTCTTCTTCCCTCCAACTTTCCTACTATCACGATGCACTCCAGTTTTCTCCTTCTCATTACATGACCAAAGAATGTAGAATGTCTCTTTCTGATGTGAGCAAACAGTTCTCTTCGTGAGTCAGTTTCTTTCAAGATGTCTTCATTACTCTTTTAATCTGTTCAGGGTATTATCATTCCTCTATATAAGCACATCGCTGCAGCTTCCAAATAAGTTTTCACTAATTTACTGTCCATGATTCACACCTGTATATCAATATAGGATTTATATAGCTTTAAATAATTATATTTCTCTCATCTGACAAAGAAAGATTGCACAAAATATTCATTTTGTAAAATAATGCCTTTGACTTGAGCAATTTTCAAACTTGCTTGAGGTTTGTCCCATTTATTTTGATGTGCTTTGGAGGGTCAGTTTTCTTTGTAATTACTATTATATCTGTTTTTCCGCTGCTCAAACCAAGACCCTTGTTTTCACTTTCCTTTATAATTATATCTATCATTTCTTGCAGCTGTTTTTCACTTTCAGTGATCAAAATTATATCATCAGCATATCGCAGGTTGTTAACAATATGCCCACCAACCGCTATTCCTGGCATACCATGTATGAATCTAATTATTATTTCACTTTAAAAAATTGAATAAATTAGGTAAAATACAGGCTCACTCACCTAAATATGATACTATCCAAATCAAATGGATATTCAATGATACCGGTTGTGGGGACTCTAACACGCAGAATATCTTGTAATGTGGGCAGGTAATCAGGCTGAGATATTCTTTCTACACTGTCCAAGTAGCTGTTGGGGGAAACCACATGCAGATGTGTAATGTGAAATATTGCATATGCACTGCAAGTAATACACAAATATGAAATAATGGTTAAGTATTTTATATTCCATGGTAGGTAACAAGGTGGGGTATCCTTATCAAAGCAGAAGAGGCACTGCCATCACTGATAATCTATGGGATACCCCTCATCAGGATGTCTCTCACAAACTGGTAAAAGTCGACCATGTCTTCAATAAGACACAATGAAAAAGTCATGGACCAAGTGTGAACTATGGTTCTGTAAAACTGCTGTGGCTATGTCACCTTTAGAGAGGGATAAGAACTGGCTCTGTATATTCCATTATGATGAAGGAGTGAGTAATGGGGACAGTGTTCACAAGATTCATGCAGAAAATGTTGAAAAGTAAGCTGACGCAAGTTTGCCTAGAAACAGCCAGTACATACAAAGAACATCCTGCAGAATATACGAATGGTGAGAGACATCAACTTCCTAACACTGAAACCACTGGTGATGAGTTGATGATCAGTACAACCTAAAAAACCAAGGAGGAATCATCACAATGGAAGCAAAGCAGGTGAGCATTAATGTTAACTGTCAAGAGATTTCTTTGAATCCTCTGCACCATAAGTGCACACAGACACTGCCAAAGAGAACTGGTGGACATCACCCATCACTTTGGTGAAGCTGTCTAATGCAAAGAAAAAAAAAAAACTGGACCCATGGACAACAGGAACTTTGCAGTACTTCATTTCCAAAGTGGGCTTTCTGAAATGCTTCCAACAATGATGGGACCACTGGGAGAAAGAAGTGCTTACAGTCCTGAGGATAATAACCTGCAAGAGGTTTAGGGTCTGAGACACCTGCAGGTGAGCTTTGTTTTTCCCCCAGCCATAATACATTTTCAACAGACCTCATGCACAGACCAGGATCATTCTATTGATCGATTAACTATCCTTTAATTTATTGTTAATTCTTCAACATTATACATGCACTTCAACTTGTGCACTGCATAGCTACATAGTCCTGTCTCTGAAATCTAATAGATAAGAGACCTAAAACACATGGTTAAGAAAATTAGAAACACAGATGTGTATATGGAAAAAACTACAAAGGACTACCAAAATAGGAGAACTTGGTTAAGGGCCTTCAGTGTTCAAATTTCAATCATCTGGTCTTATCTTAGAGACCTATATTTTATCTGTGTAATTCAACAGAAACAAACGTAAATGCATTTATGTTTAACATGTTTATCCTGCAAGAATGATAGTTGTCAAAAGTAGTCAGAACCACTGCATACCCTTCCAAATGGTGAGACTATGTCTCTCCACACATCTTGGCCCTTAGTGTTCTGGATACATTTTTTTTATTCCCCAACTCATCTTACAAAATATGGATTATACTGCACTGAAAATAATAACTGTGTGCTGCCTCCACAATGAAGGTTCGCTGCAGTGTGTTCACTGCTGTCTTGGGAATTTGACAAGGTGAAGCCTCAAATCCCTTCCACAGAGTAGATCTCATCTCATCTAAAATCTATGAGATTTTTTTTTTGGGGGGGGGGGGGGGGGGGGGGGGTATATAAACTGGGGGGGCCACAGAAATCAAACCCTGACACTAATAGTTAATGAAACTGTTAAACTTCTTCACCAGCCTCTAAGCCACGGCGTGGCAAACCTTGAACATAAATGACTATACACAAGAGACACTGGTCACACCCATTTTCACTTCAAGTAATGGTCAATTACAAACTCACTATTTTGCAGAGTCTGTAAGCTGATATTCACGTCTGCGATCATAGCATTCTTGAATACCTTCATCACTCCAAAGTGATATAATAGCATCAACACAAGGCTTGTCAAATGTTGTTACTGTTTCATAGTCTATCTGGCGAATCATAGTTGGCATAATCCTGAAAAATAGGTAACATTTAGAAAAACATTTTTGACCTGTATTTGTGAAAGACTTAAGGCATATGTGACCTGTGTTTGTGAAAGACTGATAAGGCAGATGTGACCTGTATTTGTGAAAGACTTAAGGCATATGTGACCTGTGTTTGTGAAAGACTTAAGGCATATGTGACCTGTGTTTGTAAAGACTGATAAGGCAGATGTGACCTGTGTTGGTGAAAGACTGATAAGGCAAATGTGACATGGGTTAGTGAAAGACTGATAAGGCAGATGTGACCTGTGTTTGAGAATGACTGATAAGGCAAATGTGACATGGGTTAGTGAAAGACTGATAAGGCAGATGTGACCTGTGTTTGTGAAAGACTGATAAGGCAAATGTGACATGGGTTAGTGAAAGACTTAAGGCATATGTGACCTGTGTTTGTTAAAGACTGATAAGGCAAATGTGACATGGGTTAGTGAAAGACTGATAAGGCAGATGTGACCTGTGTTTGTGAAAGACTGATAAGGTGTATGTGACCTGTGTTTGTGAAAGACTGATAAGGTGTATGTGACCTGTGTTTATGAAAGACTGATAAGGTGTATGTGACCTGTGTTTATGAAAGCTTGATGTGTATCTAAGATAATAACAGAGTAGAAGTTAACCTCTCTAAAGTGTACTTCAAATTGAAATATATAGAGTGACTGGCTGAAATGTCTGTCAGGGAATAACATTTCAAATCAGTCTGTCACAGCAGTTGAGTTGAGTTGAATGAGTTTTGTCAAGAATTGAAATCAAAGCAATTATGGCATTCCCATATGTGCTATGTCCCCACCTCAGCAGCCAGTGCAGAGTTCCAATACTAATGCTGCCAGTCGTAGTCTGGCTGTATGTCCGTCTTACCTTTCCTCTGAGCGTAGTGTGCCGGCCGAAGCTCGGTAACACCCAGGTGCATCATTCTCACCAGCCTATAATAATAATCTAGTTTTCTCTTCTGACTTCGTTACTTGTTCCGAAAGGACTCTGACCACATCTGCCTTGTCATGTATCAATTTACCACCCAGTTGTGCAGACCTAGCCAGTCTCTATGCCTGTTCATTTCCCACCACGCCGGCATGGCCTGGAGAAAAGATCCAAAGTATACTCACTACCAGTGACCTTGCAAGTGAAGCTTGCCACTCTGCTCAAAGTAATTTGTCTTCACCTTTTTAGCATGCTTTCAGAGTCTGTAACAAGTACAAAATGTGTATGCATCCTGTTCTCTAGCCACTGGCAAGCCGCAGTGACTGCCTCCACCTCCATTCTGATGCTAGATGTCATGGTATCATATGCCAGGCTGTCCTGCATTAAAGATTTTCACTGGCTTTCGCTACAAAACCCCCAGGAACTTCTCTTCCCTCTCAATAAAGAACCATCTGTGTAGATAAATCAGATCATCAGGACAAGAACTGTTGTGAATCAACTGTTGGACTTCCACCTCAATAGTCCCCGGTGGTCACTCTCTGCACTCCCGGCCTAATGTGATCATAACCCCACATAGGTCAAACTTTTCCTCTTGCACTCAGACCCACTCATCTCCTCGCCCAATGTTTTTCAGCATGCATATTTGTTTTATTGTGTCTTCTGCTTGAGCCATCCATGATTTTCCCAATTTTCAGAATCTGACGCTTAACTGCTGCCAAAGCCTCATACAGAGGGTTCTCTTTATCTGCAGCACCTTTAGCCTATCTGCAATAGTCAGCAATGCAAGGGTGTATCACATGCACATAATCAGGGTGTCTCTGGTACATCCCAGGATCACCCACAAAGCTTCATTCTGTAAGCGCTACAGTTTCACTAGCTGACTCTTCACTGGGATGATTAAATGCTGGTAAAGTGTGAATATCATTTTTGGCTCCACGTTCATTGCTGACATAATCTTTTTTAATTCATTAAGACCTTTTTAGGGTCTTTGACACAACCACTTCTATGTAATCCTTCAAAGACAAACTTCTGTCAAAGGTGATTCCTAAGTACCGCAGTCTCTCTTGATGTCCCTGCCATTTATTTTGAGGCCTGGAACATCAGTTCTAACAATCCTGTTGTCTAAAGAACACCACAGAATGGTTGCTTTTTCTGGGTTGATAACAGCACTCATCTCTGTACATCAGTCGATCACCTTATCTAATATTGCCTGTAACTCTTGAGCTATTTGATTCCGATCTTTTCCCTGCCTATTTGCGAGAATTTCACATGAAAATGACAATATTCTACCAACTCCAGGTGTTTCCAGTTCCGCAAACTTGCTCTAGACACAATGAACAGGACAGGTGAAATTGCAGATCCCTGTGGTAGGCCCGAGGCTATAATACGTGGTTCGGAGGTCCATGAACCCAGGCAGAGAGATACCCAACAAGAATACAAAACAGCTGCTATCCAGTTCACCAACCAAGTCAGACTGCCTTCTCCATAAGCGCTGTTATCAAGATATTATATCTAACTCTGTTGTAAGCATCTTCTAAATCAAGTGCCGCTACCACCATTTCCTGCCTGTTCTGGAAACTTCTGAAGACGTCAAAAGCAAAAGTGGCTGCATGTATCCTTCCCTGGCCGTAACTTCCCAAACCTTCAAGAAGGAGCTTTCTCTGTTCCAAAAATTCTTGTAGCACACCCGATACTGTCTTTGCCAGCACTTCGCCAGTCAAAGTGTAGCTCTGCTGCACTTGGTCTGGCCAGAAGCGCCGGGATCGGTCCCGAACTCATGGGAGTAATTATCACGGCATGAGTCATTCAAACTCAGAGCCGGTTGGTTTCCCCGTGAGGAGAAACTGACCCGGCGAAAAAAAAAAAAAAAAGCTGCTGAGTGTTGAATGATACTTGCCAGGCTTGTCGCAGGCTTGTTGCACCAGAATGGACCAGTCGAGTGAGCTGTAATGACGTCAAAACAATCTTCTGGGTGAAGGAATTGTATTCTATAGATGTTCTCGAAGTTTGACAAAGGCGCTTGAAACAGGCAGATCCTTGAGGATCTTTACCCCGGGATGCCATCAGTTCGGCAGTAAGCCCTCATGTGTTTTATAGTCCGAAGGAGACGGACGTGTGGATCCTTGAGGACGCTTTACCCCGGGATCCCACGTGTCTTCCAAAGTTGGATCCTTCAGGACATTTTTTCCAAGATAGACCTTCCAGGAAGCCTGTGAATGTTACATGTCAGTAAGCCGGTATACCTTCATTTTTTAATGGCAGCTGACAGAACTGAATATAAGATGATTGTCTGGATCTCTGCGACCTATCGTGAGGACATATCATCCATGGATGGTCCGAGCGAGCTTTGGTTGAAGGCTTGATTATTAATTGCCATATGTAAAATTGTGTTGATCATTGCCCTTGTATATATCTTCAACCGTTGGTCAATAACGCATAGCGTTCGTCTACCTTTTGAAAGCATTGATGAATACTGTTTTACTAAACTTGGCCTATTTTTTCTTGGTACGACACACATCAGTCTGAACTTCGCCTACGCATGTCCAATGGGAGCCAAGCTTAGGAAGTGTTTCATCGGGTAGCTGTGCATCCACTTTCTAGGACTTAAAATTGTCCTTAATGCTTTGGTTGAAACCTTGAAACAGGCAGTCATCACCAACGCTCATCATTCTGACCCTCCTGACTCCATCAGGCCCATGTGCATGTCTTTTTTTCAGATCTATTTTCTGCCACCTGTATGATGTCAAATTCTTCCTGCGTGACAGATCTTAGGAATGTTTGTTGTCTCCACTTGTTTTTAATCACTTTACTGGTCAGCTGTCTCTCTATGAATTGTTCTCACTAAACTTCCCGATCTTTCTTGAGCCTGTATGTAACTTCAAAATTTTCCAGTCTTATGGAGGCCCAGTTTCACAAAAAATGTTCCCATTTTGCTTCTTTGCCTCTGCTTCAAAAACCTCTATCCTATCTTTTTTTTTATCTATTTCTGCACACTCAAAGGTGCTTAGGGTCCGTCACTTTCTTGAAAGACCTAAGAGCTCTTTAAGCTTTGACTTTTTACTGGATTTGGGAGATCAAAAGTGCTGTCACATGGCAGATGGTCCACTGACATGTGTTTGTCCACATACCAGAACACCTAAGATCTTTAAAGTTGATCCAGATCACTGCTGACTGGGTCAACAGAGCCAGGTCAGGAGCCAGGAGCTGTGTCTGCATCGCCGGGCCTCACTGCCATTCTGGTTGGCCTCCCACCATTTATGTAGACATAATTTGAATTGGCCATGGCATCAGCAAGGGCAACTCCCTGTTGATTTTCCCCAGTACTGTCCCATTCATTGTTCAGTGCACAGAAATCCCCATAAATAAGGAATCTGCTGCCAGGGATCTCCTCTAGGTCTTTCAGCAAGTTCCACTGTTGCTTTCTGACTAATGAACCCACTGCAGCATCTATATTTATTATGTTCCAGCTTAGGCCACCAATCTCCATCTGTATTCCCTGGACCGAATCAGGTCAAGCACCACATGTTTAAAATCCTCCTTGTCTCCCATGTCCAGCAGGGTACATAGCTGAAATATCCAGGGAAATTTAATTTGCTGCATTCAGCTCTTGAAGCATGATTACATCAAATTGGTATTTCAACCTCTAGTATGGGTCCTCTGTCTGGCACTGCGACAATTCCAAAAGCACTCTTTTACATGACTGAACCCCAGCCGCCGTCTTTTTGCCTAAATCTCCTGGCTCTTTCCCTTCTATTTCTCTGATTTCTTCTCTCACCATTTCCTTGTTTCCTCCTCTGCACTCTCTCTTTGCTGCTCGCTGAGGATGATGTCAAGCGCAGAGCACGTGCTTTGTAGCTGCGGTGACAATTCTTATGAAATGAAAAATCCATGATAAAATTGTTATGAAGCAGGAAGTAGCCGGTCACCTTAGTAGAGCCTGCCTGCAATGGGGTACACGCCTGGCGCCGCCCACCCACTGACCAGACATCCACGTTCACGACTGCCTATCCCACAGCTATTCAGCAGGTAGATCCACTTTAGGCTGTTTTTTTTTTGGGGGGGGGGGGGGGGGGGGTGGAATTTTTTTTATCTTCTCTAGATCCGTTGTATTTTGTCCCAGGACCGCAAGGTCTTGGTTAAATGGATCACCTTTGGAAGGATGTGCCTTTTTGGTCATGCACAATGGTCTTGACCGTAGAAAGGTTTGCTAGTTCAGAGGACTTACCACCTGAGTGCGTCCTTTTCACCTGTAAGGCTAGACCAAGAGACACAAGGGGGAACAGCTGATGTGCTCCACTGCCTGAGAGTCCTTAGCCACTACAGCCTTAAGTCTCCATGACCCTCAACCCACTGTTAGTTAGTTGGTATGGTCGCAGCTCAAGCCAGTGAGAAAATCTTGATCTCTGTTGTCACCCACTGCTTTTATTTTCTGCGAAACTGATAATAACACCTCACAGGAGTATCACATCAATAATACTAAAAAGCTAGGCAAATATAAATTGCCAATGATCAGAACTATACAGCTGCACACATGCAGCAAAGACTTCTATTCTTTCTACACTATCATCTGATCCTGTACCAACTGGGTATACTCAGACAGTCAGCAACACCGGAAAGTTGAGGCAAGTTCAATAAAGGGGTGCAAAAAATAGCAGGACACAAACCTCAGTCAACACACTGTATTTGGCCTCCTCTCAAACAAGCTGAGGCAATGGCACATTTGAGGATCACAAATGATATCAGACACCTCTTATATAGGAATACCACTGTCAGCAGGAAGCAAGATGAACTATTTGAATAAACAGTGATGGCTGGAGAACTGGTTTATATCATCAGCTCTGCATAACCCATGGGGAAAAAGGTGATGCAAGGGGCGAGCAGTCTACCCACTACAGCTTTAACCACTAAAAAGGAAAACACTTTCAGTGTCATTTGAGGGACAACAAAAAGAGGCAAGGAAGACGTTTTATAAAATTATGGCTAAGTATACACATGAGACATGGCATCTGCTAGAGGTCCCGGTTCAAGTCCCGGTGAAGGCTGGGATTTGCCCTGGTCTCTGGGCAGTAAGATCAGACGCCCGTGTGTATTGCTGCGCATGTAAACATGAATAAGCTAACATACAGCAAAAAATATATACCACACAAAAAATAACATGAAAAAGACATTCCCAAATTATTATTCAGCTTTTGAAAATATGACAGAAAATTATTACAAGTATTGTTTTCCAATGAGGACTTTATCAACTTACACATACCCTATTAGCAGGGTTACTGTACTGAATATTGAGTGTATCCATGGCACGTATCATAGCATTCATTGCCATGAATATATTCTGGTAGACAATTTTAATGTGACTACGCTTGTCTTCATCAGAATAACCAGCGCCATGTATAATTCTCATCTGTTTGATGAATGTACTTTTCCCAGATTCTCCAGTACCTGCAAATAGAGCAGAAATGTGAACAGGTGAAAACATGCTCATTTATGCCTGAATAATGGCATACGAAAATCATCATCCCTCCCCCCCCCCCCCATTTCAGGGTAAATATACAGTGCAGAAAAGACTGGTATTACATTCAAATTTAACTGAGAAATTGGTATAGAAGCTATCCTTTGATTTACATTGAAAAATATTCTATGGTATGTGTCTACGTTTACTTTTGCCATTTTTCACATTTAAATCAATGATAAAATCTACTATCTGTGAATGGGTTCAAGCCACTGTGTATGCTGATGATCGACGGCTACTGAAGGCAGAGGAGTATACTGGCACAGCACACACCATGGCTTCAGGAACCCCCTGGAAATCCACAGAAGTGGTTCAATCTGGCCTATTCATACCTCAATGAAGACAAAGCTGACAAAGACAAAGGCAGGCATTACAAACTAAATTTTACCTGAGAGTCACATGGCACATGACAACTAATTGAAGTCATATAATAAAAACTATTGCAGAATATTTTCTTTGCGAGAGTGCAAGTGTGCTTGCAAAGGACAATTTGCAGCTCCCAGTTTAACATGCCTCATGCATGGTACACGAGGATTTGGACTGCGCTTTTGATGGCCTTCATAAAGGTTACCTACCTCCTGATATAGATTTTCTAACAGAACAAAGAGGAGGAGGAAAACAGCCATTATATAATACACTTGAGGTTATAGACATACAGGCTCAATTCTGATCAGCAACAACCTTTCTCTTGAGTCAGGTTAAAAAAAAAAAACCAAGTTTCTTTTCATGCTGCAAAGAAAAACTACTTCTTCTGCTTCTCTTCCACCTTCTACCTCATCTAAGTGTCGGGGGGAGATGTAATGTTCATTGATGAGCTCTGCCAAGAGCAGTATTAAGACTGATGTTCATTTCTGAAAGGCTGTCCTTAATGCCATCACTCCATCTTTTCCGAGGTCTTCCATCCACTCTATATCCGTTTTAACGTTTTAGTGTGGCTCGCTGTGGCAGATAGTACCAGGGCATTCTTGTTAGGTGTCCAAACCACTTCATTTGTTGTTCTTTGATGACCTGTGAGACTGGCTTTATTCCTAGCATTCGTCTGATTTCGTATTCTGTCAAAGAAAAACTGAAATACACTAATGTTAACATCTTAACAATCTGCCTATCCAGCTGTTATACTTCCAATGTTGGCACAGCATTACACTGTTCTCAGCACAATATGATATGACCCAGTAAAAGCCACTCTTGTGCCTTCTGCTGTCAATTCATTCCTGCTGTCTGTGTATCTGTTTGACTAAGGTCACATTCCTAATATCTTCTGCTTGTGTCAACAAAGAGCTTTCTTTCATCAACAGCACTGAGGTTCTCTGTGCCACTGTAAGTCTAGACATCACAGATGTAATTACAGAATGAATATGAGAAAAGAAAGACAAGGAAGGAGCAACATGAGAAAGCAAAGGACAAGAACATAGCTGTAAGATTATTTAGGATAAATGAAAATGAGGATAGCAAAATTATGATAAAAATTAGTTGCAAATAACACTTCAGGGTTGTCTCGTATTTTGGAAAATATTGCATCAGAACATCTTCTGATTTCGTATCAATTTACAAATCATGTCAGAACATCTGGAAAAGCTGAAAGGAATTGCCCAAAATAGGAAAAAGTGGAGTCATTTCACTACTTGTTTTGTGCATGTTTCCCCATTTTGTTAAGCTTTTTAGTCAAAGTTGACTGGATTAATTCTTTACTTCAGCACCAGTCTAGTAGCTACTAAGGTGATGACAATGATGAACATTTAGAAATATAAGGAGGCATATCTGTTGAAATTTCTTTTTTATGCCTGAATGAATCAATAACTGATATCACTGTACTCAAGACATTCCATACCTGCTCTGTTTCCATCTTTGTTAGCTAACAAAGAGTTCCCCCGATTGGTGCCAGCTGTAACCTATTTAACAGTTTTTCTGGTTTTTACCTTGCAGACAGAAAATTAGGCAGATCCTCTGCTCACTAATGGCTGAATCATTCTCTCCAAATATGGATTATTTCTATGAAAACCATTATAGACATCTGTCTCTATAATGTAATACATTCCCTAATTTTCTGAAACCCATTATTGGCTGGGTTTACTCCTCAGTCAATGTCAATTTGTCAAAACATACTCGCTTCAATGGGCATTGGACCACGCTAATGGGCCAGCAGGCAAGCATGCCACCTTTCTACATTATCACAGTAACACACAAGCATGTCTCTCACAAGCACAAACATACAATGATGTTGCCAATAAAGATCCAATTTAGCAAGACCCTTTGTGTAAATAAATGTTTACAAAATGCTCTAGAGCTTTGATTAAAAGCATCACAGCACATGTTACTAACTGTTGAGTTGAACTCATGCTGTCATTATGTATATTATTCATTCACAAAGACTGTCTATTTAAAAATGTATATTGGTCCTGGTGTTAATGAGGGTCAGGTATTCATGACAATGGTGTTCTTTAGGGAGGTTCAAGTTATTTCATTCCTCCATTCTTTGCTACCTACATTCAGTCACATAAAAAGATGGCAAGCAGTTATTAAAAGTAAGTAAGCAAAGGACCCTTATTCGTGCCTTCAGATGTATTCAGCATACAGGGCTAGACATATATTTTATAGAGCAACTGGCACTTGGTGAGTGATGTCAGCATCACACCAGCCACCTTTACTTCCCAGAACTCAGCCACCTTTACTTCCCAGAACTCCACTCAGGACCATTCAAAGCTAGGTTGACCTGGAAGCCAATATCATCTTTGAAAGGTATTTAATCTAGTAACTCACTTTCGCTGAATCTCAGAAATAGAGTCGAAAAAAAGTTATACTGAAGCTGTACTGTTGTGAATCTTTATTTGTGAATTAACAAATGAAGAAGTTGGAGGCAGCTGAGATGTGGTTTCTGGACAAAGACTAATTAAAAGTAGAACCTTACATGCAAATACAGGAAAAATGTTGATTCTATAATAAGAAAAGATAATGAACACAAATGCAGGCTTTGTGAAAGAAAGACACAGATTGCAAGTGAGGGTTCCAACATGTTGGTCCATCACAAGTGATGAAGACCACTTTTCATCCAAAGTAAATGATCAGTGATTATGAGTACAAGGTGGCTGATTAGTAAGTATGACTGGATGATAACTGGATAAAAGTTACTTGCACAAGGAGTTGGATTTCAGTGATGAACACAATTCGTCGACCACACTCTCTTGCCTGTGTCCATTTTGATCCAATGGAAGCGCAACGTCAAGACAATTGGAAATGGACATGGGTGCAATGAATGTTCAAGGCGATTGGATGTGCCCTGCCTTGCTCGTAGCTCGCCAGAGCTTGCTGGTAATCGCCTTCTTGTCCATGAACTATAAGAGGTTTCATACACATAATTCGCCGTCCACTCCATACAGGGTAGGCATATCTTAATCACTGAGTGGTTTAGAATCAGGCCGACTACCCTCTCCTGGTTTAGCCAGCCTGTCGAAGCTGTTGCATACTGACAGCTGCTGGGTTCCAACATACACATTGTGTGTGTGTGTGTGTGTGTATAGATACAATATTCTTTGCACAGCATTGCTCTCTTTATGGAATACTCAAAAACCACCATGTTCCTTTAAAACTAAAAAATAATTACTCTTAGTGTTATGGAATGCGTGCTCCAAGCTTGATATCTCTAGCTGTTATTGTTATTAAAAAGAGAGTGAAGAAGAGAAGATAAGGAAATGGAGAGAAGAATAAAAGAAACAATATGGCCGGGAGAGTTGAGATGCAAATAGGAGCTCTTGTAACTGAAGCATGTTAAACTAGTTTACTAGAACTGTCTCAGTGCTTGACAGCGGGCATGTAGTAGAGGGGTTAATTTGTGATTCTGATTGTTGCAAGAACTAAATTTAGACAAATATGAGTGCCATTGATATATCAGCTACATCAATCCTGCTGGACAAGGAGGACATGGGCAAGGTCTGCTGGTGAAGAATGGGGTGAAGCATTTGGTACTTGAACTGGGCCAGAGAAATCACAGGGTAAGAGAGGCTCAGGGTAAGAGAGGTTCAGGGTACACAGCCAGAAACTAATGGCACAACCTGTATTTTATTAACTGTATATGCCGCTGTGGACTCACTTTTAACAAAAAAGACATCAGGGCTGGCTTAAAGATTTGGAGGAAATCTCTGGTAACAGGCCGGAGGTAAACTAGAATAGCAAATTAAATAAATCAAGAACAGACACCACTGCACTGGTGACATTCCGTCCCCTTCTTCAGTAACCAATAAAGAGTTGGCATGCTAATAGTACTGGTTGCAACCAAATTAAAAATTTGCCTCTGTTTCCCCTTCAATGTTGAATATCTTCCAGAACCTCTACTTAGCACCCATTGAATTAATCTTTCAATGTATGGATTCTCTATCTGTTCTTTTGCACTGTCCATTTCTTCTTCTGCTTCTTTGATCCTTCGTCAGAAAACTTACATCAGGAGGCCGGTAGCCTTTATGAAAGCTATCGTGCAGTCCAAATCCTCTCCTGTAGCATACAGCTTTGTCTTCAGTGTAGTTGGAACAGGCCAGATTGTTTCTCTGTTGTCAGCATACAGTCAACAGTTTTGGAGCAGGCCAGACTGCGTCTCTGTTGTCAGCACACAGTCAACAGTGTTGCAGCACATGCTCAGCATTTTCGAGTGTCACGCTGCAGGGACTCGTCTCAGTGTTTCCTACACCGAAAAAATTTAACATTTGCTGACGAAGTCTGTTGTGCTCAGTCCTTAGTCTGAATATAATACACTTTAGAGAGGCAATGAAGTGAGTCTTTGGGAGAGAATCTGGTGTGTGTATCCAGCCACCTTTCTTGGATACTAGATTGTATTAATGTTTTCGTCTCTTGGTGGGTTGTCCCTATTTGGCTGTACCATGTCACTGCCGCTTCTGCCCAATCTGTCCACTATTTCATTACCTTCCAAGCCAGTGACCTGGAATTTTTCTACTGAAGAGCCTAAGTGAATCATCTGTTGCGTCTAGTCTACAAACGGAGTGTCTTTTGGGTTAACAATTGCTTGTAGAACTGACCCAGCACCAGTCAGAAAGACCACTCTGCTATATTTGCTGTGCTGTTGTCCATTCAAGAAAGAACAAGCTTCTGCCTTTGTTCTGTAATTGGAGGAATATGAACCTGTTGGTACAGCCTGCTTGATTTTTAAACCATTTGGGCATTCTATGTATATTTCTCCTCCTCCGACTCTTACTGCTCTCTTGGCTGAACCATCTGTATACACTCTAATCCAACTCTGGTATGGATCAAGTCTGTTCATATCTCTTTCTGTAGTTGATTTCATTTCAGTGCTGCTCATCAATGATTTTGGAGGAGATCCCTGTTACAGAGGTTCTGACTTGGCAGGCTATCCCTAAGCCAAGGGGCGCAGTCATCATAAGGTTTTAGTGGAACATTTGTGTTATGGGAGGGAGTTTGAGGACAGTGAGCTTGGCATTTGCGGTCTTAATAAAACAGGTTCTCTTTAGTCTGGCCTTCTGGGGCTTCTGCGGTTGACTGTGCATGGGGTTTTCATTAAAATGGTGGTAATTGGAAAGCTGGGTGAGGAGCTTTGTGTCTCTCCTATCTTCCTGATCAATGAGACCAGTAATTGTCTCCATGTCTGATATAGGTGTGGAGTGCATGGCCCCTGTCATAATAAGGAGAGCATGGTTTTGGATCTTAGATACTATCTGAAAATTTTATTTAGCTGCTGTGCCCGAAGCAGCTATCCCATATTCTAGTGTTGGCCTCACATATCCTGTATATGTCCTCTTGAGGACACTGAGGTTTGCCAGTATCCTCCTCTGAACTCAGTAGCGCCAGATTATCGGCATATGTGACAGCATGTACTTCTTCACAAAGGGTTCATTTTATGTCAATATAAACGGGGAAAAGAATTGGGGATCTTGACTCTTGCAGTTCAATTTTAAAGATATCTTACGATCCACCCAAGCAGGTGGTCACTCACCTCTGTTTTAGAGGATTTGGACCGTGCAGATGAGGTCAGTCTTATATCAAGCAGTCACGTGGACGCTCAGGAAAAGATTGAAAGACTTTCAGCAACAACCCTTAAGATAGGTCTCAAAATAAACACCAGTAAAACTAAAGTAATGAGAAATAATTTCAAAACTGAAAATCCATGTTATCCTAAATGACGAAGCAATAGAGGAAGTTGAAGAATTTATACACCTCGGAAATAAAGTTACTTCAGATGGAGATTCTGAAAAGTATGTATCAAAAAAGGGGGATAGTATGCATCCCCGTCTGACTCCTGTGTTGACAAAGAAACTTTCTGTTGTATAATTATCACAAACTACCTTGCACTGAAACTCTAAGTAAATAGCTTTGATCACATTTACTATTTTCTGTGGTAGACCATAGCCATGCAAAATCTTCCATAGTGATTCCCTATGCAGGCTATCACAGGCTTTTTCAAAATCCACAAAAGTCATATACATTGCACTATTTCATTCATTACTTTGTTGAATTATTTGATGCATTGTGAAGATGTGATCAATACATGATTTCCCCTTTCTGAATCCTGCTTGCTCTTGCATTATTATACTATCAAGTGTTTTATTCATTTTTTAAAGAATTATCCAGCTAAAGATTTTACTAGTTACTGATAGTAATATGATACCTCTCCAGTTGTTACAGTTTCCTAAATCTCCTTTCTTTGGTAATTTAATAAAAGTACCCTTTTTTCCCACTACTGTGGGATTTCTTATTTGTTCCAGATTTCTTGCAAAATATTACACAATAGTTTTGGCGTTTCAATTTCCTCCACTTTCAGCATTTAAAGGCAGATTTCAGCAAACCCAGGTGGTTTGTTAATCTGTTGAGCTTTAATCGCCTCCCTAACCTCGGCCTCTGAAAAAGGCTCTAGGCTTATCTGTAAGTCTTCCTGTGCCTCAGGTATTTCAGCAAGTACAGGTGAGTCTGGACAGTTTAGACAGATCATTTTGCAAATCTAGAATTGAACCTTGCATACAAAAGTCGTTCAATTACAGGCTTATACTCTATAAGAGTGTTGTTGAGCCCCTTGTTAATTATTAATGCGACTACTTCAATATGCTGTTTATCAGCTCTACCTGACCAGATTATGCTGTCGCCTGTATTGAGGTTTCTTTTTCTTGTCCACGTGCTTCTGTAATTCTCAAAATAATGTACATTGTGTAGGTGCATCTAATGAAAAGCTTGTTCCACTTTTCCAGTTTGAATCGATGTTCTCACATTCCAACATTCAATACTTAAGGTGTTTTTGGGAAAAAGAAAATTCACTGTCGGGCTGCTGTCTTATTTTCAGCTTTTATCCCCAGCCGTCATTTCACCAAATATCTGGAAAGCTTTACTTCTTTCCATGGTTCAATGATTTCACTTGTTCCTGTTTCCGTAACAAAGTATTTTTTTCTTTACGGTAATGGGTTGTCAACCCTTTGCCCAACCCCTAACCTGGAGGACCAGGTCTGACTTCTCTTCAAGATCTGTTAGGCACGGTTAAACCTGCCAGGGGAAGAAGTCCATAGCCTGGAGAACCAGGGTGCTAGTTTGGTCTGACTTCTTTTCAAGATCTGTTAGGCATGGTTAAACCTGCCAGGGGAACAAGTCCCCTGCGGGCACAGCTCTGAGAGTCATTAGGGTACTCAAGCCATCCCGCCACGACAAGGCACCAGCACCATGGGATGGATATATATATATATACATACTTGACACTAAATGGGCTGTGCCCCTGTGACATTTGCTATCTCCATTGTCATACTAGAAGTAGTTGAACTGAATACCTGACCAATGCATCTGTCCTATGGTATATATCACCTGATGCAGGACGAGCCCTGAGGCAGCAAGTGAATGATGCAGAAGCGCAAACAGATCATAACAGTGCAGCAGTGAGCAACCAGTCTACACTTAAAGTAAAGTAAAGGCAAGATAGGCAACACATAAACTGTTAGTGGAACCACTGGGAAGGTTTCACTGGCTGCTGAAGATTCAGACCGAGTGTCCTGATGTCCGTTCTTGACACAACTCAAGCATCCTGTAGCTTTTCCACCACATAAACTTTTATGCTCAGTGTCTCCTAGAGGTATTCTGTGTCCACGGTATATATGGCTGAAGTAGTTTACAACAAACTTACAGAGCTGTTTACTTTATGAGCCAGTCCCTAGCGCTATACATACAAACTGAAGAATATCAGTATCTGTTACAGTTTGGGTTTATTATATATTCTAAAAATCTTTATGTAACATATAAGTTCAAAAGCACATAATTTTTTTTTTAATGGACCCGAATGTGTGGAGAGGAGGGAGAGAGAGAGAGAGAGAGAGAGATAGAGAGCGAGAGTAGTCAGAACTATTATTGTTATATTTTTTTTAAACTTTCGCTATGACATAACATAGCCTAGGTGTCCTGTTATAAACTGTTTTTCAAATGTGTAAACTTGGTTTAGCCGATCGCCGACACTTCTCTTAAAACTCAAGCTAATCAAACATCCAAGATGGCGACTATCATAATAGAATATGGCCGCTAAACATGTAGTAATATTTATTGCGATGGAATTTAGACATAAGCTGTTCCATGCAATCATGTACAATGAGGACAAGCAATGATATACTATAACGCTACGCATTAATGGTTGCACTACGGTCAGTCTGAAATGGAAAGTTACTGCTGTCGGGTGCGAGAGATTACCTTTACACCGACAACAATGAGATCAGAATGAGATGCAACAAAAATCTAAGAATGCTTTGTCTGTATCGCATCGCTAGTGTGCATACTTACCCAACAATAATAGTTTTAATTCTCTTCTAGCATCTCGTTTATCTCTTTTAAGCTGTCGTTCTATTTCCTGGTTGATCCGTTTTTGCTCTTTTAATTCATCCGATCCACAAGCAGGACAACAAAAACAAGCCATGGCGCTGGCAGCAACGCAAGCGACTTAAATGTCGTGTCTGTTGGAACCGTTTCCAAGCAGAACGATATTAACCACCGCTGTCTGCTTCTCTGACCACCCAGGGTGAAATGACAAACCATTCACACATTAAAATCACATGCGGCACTTTGCCGATTGTTACTCAAAACGTACCAACCATTCGTTGAATCTTTAATCGTGATATTAAAATAAGTGGGTGTAGCGGTGCCGTGGGAGTGTCAATGCAAAGGAAGCCGTCGGTGAAAATGAGTCGGCTTGAATGGTCCCACAACTGACACTTCTGGATCTTCTGACGCTAAAACTACAACAATTTCTCAGGTGTGCTTAAAGGAATAATTAAAGAAGAACGAGACATTACTGATAAAGTATTTTTAATTAATGACGTAACAGCCACTATAACGGGCTTCTGAGATTACGGGATGTGAGCTGACCAATGCATAGTTAATGAGGCCGAGTTGGTACCAGTTTCATTTCACTCATTACAGAAAACTCCAACTCACGCAAGTTTATTTTGTCGCAAACTAACAAATAAAAATTTTAAATTTTATACTTAATGACTAAAAATCTACGCATACTTATAAAGAGCTGTAACTCTCAGATTATAGTTTCAATGTAACTCTCTGATTAGGAGGGTTTCAATGTAACTCTCTGATTAGGGTTTCAATACGCGGAAGCTGGTTCGGTATTTGATGTCTTCTTCGCGTTCACCAGCTGTACACTCTGGTGGAAAGTTCTGGTTGTTCGTCCACTTCTGAACTGCAGTGACTAGAAAGCTCTGGCACTGTTAACTCTATCTGTCACATGTTATTAATGTACTTTAACCCTACTCTTACTTCGTCTCATGCCCTAGTTGTTACTCTGAACTCACATCGCAAACTGTTACTGTTTTAACGTTCAACGTACAAGTACATCTATTTAGTATAGTACTGACAAATGACGACTATCTGGGACAGCATTGTAGCTGGCGGTAGCAAAGTTCTGCTGGGAACCTGCTACACGATGATCTGCTTATAATAAAATTTCCTCGCGCTGACCCATAATTACAACCTACTTTGTTAGTATACGATTACAGAGGGATTCCCGGTGATGGCGATCTCGTGGGAAAAGACCTTGCCTCACTAGTTAACAGACGTCCCCAAAAGACGGTCATCAAGGCAATTATTGTCACATATAAGGGATCACAGATTTATGGTTTGTAGCATCAGCTGCATCATCGTACCGTCTGGTCATGCAACTTTCTAAAAACAACTAGGTAGTTCCTGCATATCAAATCACTTCTTGAACAAAACACTTCTAGCACATCTTGCTTGAGGCTACAATAGTAACTACTTTCAAGAGACTGCACATTTAGACAGGGAGGCAACCATGTAGATATATCTAGGTGGTACCAGACACACTAACATGTATATGAATCTGCATCCAAAACATTGTGACATTAATGATGCATCATCGTCATCACGTAGCCGGTCCTTTAGAACGCCGTTCAAATCTCTTTCCAATCGACCTGGGTGCCAGGGTAAATGCGTTAATTTCAATGTACTGAAAACCATGATTAAAGATGACACTCAAGCAAGAATACACTCCATTTTGTGCGTGTCTGATCTTTAATTCTTTCATTTGCTACTTTTAACCAGTACAATCTAAACTGCTCGGTGTCAATCAGAGTTGAACAGTTTAGTAACATAAACCAACACACTCGACATAACGGACAGCAAACAGAAGACCGCAAATAAATAAATAAATACATAGGGAACCTGTCCTCCTGCTTCTACTTTTTTCGTCTAAATGATAAGTGCAAGTGACATAAGATATGTTGCTGCCACTTTTACCGTATTTCAGCACTTCTGTTACCGATGTTACTATTGTTTTTCCTTCTCCATTTCCTTTTTATGCTTCCTCAACTGAGTTGGGTAAACCAAAAAGACTATATATATATATATATATATATATATATATATATATATATATATATATATATATATATATATATATATATATATATATATATATATATATATATATATATATATATATATATATATATATATATATATATATATATATATATATATACACACACACACACACACACACACACGGTGGGCCAAACTGATGACACATTTCAAATGCGTATGTAGAGCATGGAAACAACATTTATTATCAAATATATTGAAAACACTGCCAAAGGACGGGAGTTCTGTACAGTATTTGTAGATTACATTTCGGAGATGGACAGAGAAACAGACTTGCACAGAGTGATAGTTACCGTGGTCCGAGGGTGCCAGGAATGGATCGCAGGTGAAACAGAGCCAGCGGTGCAAGAGCTGATTAATGAAAATTCACTCCCATGTATAGTAATAATATGTACAGATGGATTTGTAGTGAGAGGTAAGAAGTGTGGGGAAAGGGGTTGTAAAGGTGAATGGACACTGCTTGAAAACAGAGCCTCACTATGTCACTATCAATCCTCATCGCACCCAGAGACACATAAGGCAGAGACAAACTGTCGCCACTTATTTCGATCCTGATCCATCTTCTCTATCCCCAGTTTTGTCCTTCACATTGCTTTGGGTTCAGCCTCGAAGGTTCGCCATAAAGTGCCTCTGGGCCTGCCTCTTCCTCTCTGTACTTGTGGTGTCCATTGGATTGCATGCCTGTCTTTCTTCATTCTGAAGACTAGTCAATTCTACCTCCATCTTCGTTTTTTGATTTCTAAATTTACATGTTCTAAGTCTGTAATTTGTTGTAATCTAGAATTGCTGATTTTATTTTCCCTCAAAACCTCTGAGCAAGCTCTCTATCTTTCTGTCTGTTTTCCAAGTTTCTGCTCCATAGATGAGAACTAACGCATGATTTTTATATCCTGAATTTAGTTTTAGTGCTGTAGATGTTTGCTATCCAGACACTCTGAAGTCTGTTGTGACGTTACTCGACCCAGTATAAAAATGAAGGTTGAGGCAGCAACGGTAGCTTTCCCATGGCTTGACAACAGCGCAGACTGACATGTTGTGATTGTAACAAACTCGCAGAGCATCTTGCATCATTTGATAAGACCCAGATCAAGAGACTGATGGATTTTCTGCCCAGGACATTAAGGTTTGCAAGGTAACAAGCAGGCTGATAGATTGGCTGCTTCTGCTCTTCTAGGAAGTGAGCTACTATATGATAAAGTGGATGTGGTTAAAGGCTTTATAGAATTAAATAAAATTGCGCAAACAGATAGGGAATCCATATACTGAAAGACTTATTCAACAGGGAGTAAGCCAAGGTTCTGAAAGATATTCAACATTAAACAGGAAACAGAGGCAGACTTTTAATCAGGCTGCAACCGGTACTAACAGCATGTCAACTCTTCTTTGGTTACTAAAGAAGGGGATGGAGCAGATGTCGGAATGTCAAAGTGCAGTTATGTCAATTATTAATTTATTCATTAGTGTTTTCCACGTGTTTATATTTTCAGAATCACCACAGTGCAACCGCTATATTATTTTGTGTATGCACAAGAAACTGAAAAACATATCTGTTGACATGATACTGTTCTTAGACCAGATATAGGAAAAATGGACTTCTGGCCCAATATGGAGGATATGCATGGCAAAATGTTCAGCTTCAAAGTTATTTTTGCCCCTGATCCTGCTTGCTAATTCATTTTCCAAACATGGACGGTTTTGCTGCCTAAGCTACTCAGTTAGGTGCCTGGTGCAGCACTCTGAGCTGTGTATTTCATGCGGAATGCCTTTTATTTATGCAGCGGGTGTGTCACAGTATTTAATATGGACAGTGACCAGCTTATGTGTGGGCTGGCGAAATACTTTATGTAAAAATTCTGCTGTGCACGGCCAGCATACTGTGACCGACTACTTCTATTAACAACAAACTGCATTTCTTGTGCTGACTGTTGGCTTTGGCATGTCTAGCAACATATGCATTTTCTACGTGTGTATGTTTCTAGTTTGTGCCATGACTAATTGTTTGTTCACCAGTTTTAAAATGGGACATTGAGGGAAATGTGATTTGAGTACTATTGGCACAGGAACAGAGTATGCACAGGGTGACCCAATTGCAGTGAAGTTGAAACCTTAACTAGGACCACTATGAAACACAGAAATGTACCTCACAGAAAAAGAGGGGCCATAATGATATTTAAGAAGGCAGAAAAGACACTAATTGTATGGCAAACACACATCAGAATTTGAGTTCTAAAATTATAATAGCATTTTACTGAACCACAAACAAGAAAAATATTAACGTGACCCAGTATGATATATCAACAAATGATAAGAATAAGATATTACAAAAAAATTTCATAACAAACTTCAAAATACTAGAGGCAATCAAATAAATGGCAATACTAATAACTGTTATGAGTGATCAGAATTTCAAGAATAAGACCGGGTAAAATAGATTATATAAACATTTCTTTTTCTTCTGCATTTTGCATGTTATGTTGTGGTTTACATCTGGGCTGTGATATCTGCACTTTTCAGCTTCAACATTTCTTTAATTCATTGCATTTTAAGACATGCTTGTTAAAGGGCACTGGGTCAATTCCCCTGCCCTAACCCCAAAAAATGGGGAAATAGGCCCCACACAGTAATAAAGAATTAAACGCATAATTTTTCATGAGGGAAATTAGAGAACTGGGTGTCAAATCAGAATAGAAGTGCAGAAGAGATGCTCTCTGTCATCTTTACTATTTTCACTGACTACAGATTGTAACATGAAGACAAGCAGCAACTATCACCAGACATGGAACCCAGTGGAGACAAGCAGCAACTATCACCAGACATGGATTAAAGTGGAGACAAGCAGCAACTTCTTTTTCTTCTTCTGCCTTCGACATCAGTCATGCTAAAAATTGAGTCCCATCTGGGTCACATATAGGATTGTGCGTTTAAGGTCGCCACCAGTCCCCCATAGTTTCTCTTGCAATGTGGCTCCCTTGGGCCAGATCCACAGTCTTTGCTGGGAGAGGTTAGAGC